GGGCTCGAACTCCCGGACCGCGAGATCGTGACCTGGCTGAAGTCGGACGCTTAACCGACTGCGCCACCCAGGCGCCCCTTAAAACCGTTGCATGGTTCTTAAGGAAAGAATCTTAAAGTTGCTTCTTGACTAAGGTTGACACAATGGGAAATTATATACGTTTATTTGTAAATAATCATACAGGAGACAAGGGTGTACAGGAGTGGTTTACAAAGTAATTCCTAGTGATACGGTATTTGGTCCTGTAACTCACAACCTGGAATTTCTGTCCTAAATTTGACTCTTCTCCAACCAATTAGAGAACTTTCAAGGTTACATAATTCCTTCCATAATCAGGATTCCAAGGAAAGCAGAATCTCCCCAGTATAAAAACCAAAAGCCAGAACTATGGCAACTAAATCAAGTTATCTGTCCACTTTGTCCAAATGCCTTTGACCTCCTAAACGCACTTCTTTTCTCCACAATGCAAAAAGTCCAAATCCTATATCCTGCTCACCCACTGTCAAAACTACTTGCGAGTTTTGAAAAGGACATTCCTTTTGATTAGGAATTAGATACCAACCCAGAACTAAAAAAAAAAAAAAAAAAAATCTTGTCATGTGGTTTGAAATGGCCATTTCTTAAATGACTGATAAATGGCCTGTTCCACCTAAAGCCTGTATGAAAGAGCATTTCCAGACCAGACATAATTGGGGCCATCACACCAACAAAATAATGTCACTACCACTGGCTAAATATTGTGAGCCTCTTCGCTGTACATATTAAAAGCCTTGTGGTAATAATCCGTCCAAGACAGAATTTACAAGAAGAGTATGTTACCTGTAATACAAAACACAGATTTAGTGTTCAGTTATGATCTTCCCTCACAAAATCACACACCACATATCCGTCAACAAGTTCCCATTTCGCCTGAGTTTTAGTTTCTCTGTTTCTTTTCGGTTCACCCTATTGGTATCCGCAATCTAAGTACGTAACTCCTATTTTAAACAAAGAGCTGAAGGAGAGAAAAGACGGTATTTGGATAATCAAGAAATTGTGAGACACATAAACCCCATCGTGCTCTGGCCTAGGCAGATGACGAGTCTATCTACCAAGGCTGACCGGGAAATGAAGGGTACAACAATCTGACAGAGTCCTAGACTGAGCACTTCCCTGGAAAGTGAAGAACTGAGGCCCCTTTGATTAAAAGCCTTACATTTTAAATACTTAATCCAGATGTTTACCTTATTTTTTCACCACCCTCTGAAACTCCATGCAGGGGTCCCAACACGGTCTTCCCCTTTTGCTCCTAGACTGAGAACGGGGCGCGAGGAAAGGAAACGAGTGGAAAAAGTAAGCGGTCCTAAGATTCTTCAGAAAAGTGCAGCAGCCTTGGGGCCGCCCATACGTCTGGGACGTCTAAGAAAGATCGCCGGAACTTCCCACGCAAACATAACAGTGCGGTTTGAGGAAAAGTTCCCCGAGCCCCGCCCCCGACCTGGGCCTACACCATTGCGTCCCTTTCCGAAGCCCCCTAACTCACAGGTCTCCTCGGGGAAGGGCTAAGCAGGGCCTACTGGTACTGCCCGCCCAGGAGCTCCAAGGCCGGAGCAGCGAGAGCCCGGCACGCTCGGTTGTCGCTTTCGCCGCAGCCAAAGCAGGTAGTGGCCCGCGTAAAAGCTAGGCCTGGCTCCGGATCCGGATCGCAACCTAAACCCCGGGCTCGGCGGCCGGGGAGGAGCGACACAAGAAAGGGGAGGAGCGACACAAGAAAAGGCAGGGCCAGCAAGGGTGTGGGAGGTTCGGGGCGGTGGCAAGAAGCGGAAGACCAAAAAGTCACCGAAAAAGCGGCGTAGAAAGCCCTGTCAGAAACACCCGGAAGACTGTCGCGACCCGGATGGGAACAGCGAGCAGGGAGCGAAAGGTCACACTTCCGGCAGCCTCCCCGCCCGCCCCAGCAAGCGCTTTGCTTGAGTGCGCAGGCGCACAAATGCTACGGTCTGGGTTAGGACGGAGGTGGCTGTTCAGCAGCTGCGAGCGCGAATGTGGAAGGGCTAGGCCTGCCCTGAGACAAGAGGGATCAGGCAGTCGGCGGTGGCCGGGCCGCGTTGTTCGGCTCTGGGCCGCGTCCGAGCTAATGCACAACGACTCCTGTGCACTTTTTAAAAAGTTAAGCACTTCTTACGGGTCTTTCGTGTCTCAGCTGGATGACTCCGCCCGAGAGGAGCTTTTCCTGACCCAGCTTTCCCTCACTCTTTTGCACTGATCTGTATTAAGTTTTGGTTATTTTCCTCCCTCCAGTGAAATGAAAGCAGCTTGGGGCTGAAATGCCTTATTGATCTCTAAAGCCTGGGCTCGGCGCCCTGTCCTTAATAATAGCTAACATTCCCTTATTCAACAAATATTTAATATTTCTACTGGAGTGAACTTTGCTGGTGGTGAAAATACCAACGTTGTTGGATTTGTTAATGTAAATCTGTTAACAATATACCTTTATTTTCTTTTTAATTCCTGTAGAAGAATTTCTCATTTTTGAAGTTGGTAATTTGTATCCTCGTTCTTTTTTCCTGATCATTCTGGAGAGAGGCTTATCAACTTTACTGATCTCAAATCCCAAAGCCATCTTTTGCTTTCAAAGATTATATTTATTGTTTGTTTCCTATTTACTGATTTCTTCTCTTAGGTTTATTTCCTTTCTTTTGCTTTTTTTTTTTATTTTTTAAGTTTTTTTTTTTAATTTACTAGTTTTTTAACTTGGAAACTGAGATCACTGATTACTGATGTTTCTTCTTTTGTAACTCAGAGTACTGCTTTAACTACATCTCACACGTTTTAATAT